GGGATGTCACGCCGCATCAATATAGAAGCAAGGAGATGTCATTTATTCCAGGCTGCACGTATGCGTGCTCGAACGGCAGCCTCAGCTGTTCCAGTACAATCCAGAACATCCCCTTGATATTGAAACGATGTGACTTTCTCTACCTTAATGACTTCAAGAACATTGCTATGTCGAATTTGTAGTTGTAGATTGATGCAAGCAGGACAAACAAAATTGGACACTTAAGATTTGGAACCAATTATTTTAGAACAACGTTTGTGACACCACTGATTACACTGCTGAAACTTGATTGAATTGAATACCTACACCAGCTTAACAAACTGAACAGGGCCATCGTCCAGTAGCTGTGGATTGGATGGGTTCACCAGTGTTCATTGCTTTGGTTTTGCTGATGTTGACTTTGTATCAATGATCGGCGAGTCTGGTGTTCCAATCTTCAAACATCTGTGCTGCATTCTGCTCAGAAATGGCTTTTAAAACGATATCATCAGCAAATAATAGATTCCAAATGTCACCTGTGCGTATCGGTTTTGTGATTTCTTCCATCACAGTTATAAATAACAGTGGACTGAGAATCGAGCCTTGATGAACTCCAACGCCGATGTCAAATGCATCTGTGTTTCCAACCGTTGTGCTGACGAGAATCTTAGTAGTCGTATACATTTCCATCACAAGTCGAACAAGATATTCTGGAATGAGTTGTCGACGTAGACTCCACCTGATTGCTTCAAGAGGAACTCGATCAAATGCTTTTTCAAGGTCAACAAAAATGCGTGATAGTTGTTGATGCTTAGCGAGGTACTTCTCTTGCAATTGCCGAAGGATGTGAATTGCATAAATTGATGATTTCCCCGCTAGGAAACCAAATTGATAATTTCCGATTGTGATGTACGACGTTAATCTTCTCTCAATGATTTTCTCGACAATTTTCAGGACGTATACCCCAATATGATGAACAGTTCAATGGATCACCTTTGCCTTTGTATAGCGGGACTGTCATGCTATAGTTCCATTTAGTCAGCATTGAGCAATTTCTCCATACTTCACGGCAAAGTTGTAGTAACGTTTGGATACCTGCAGTACCAGTTGCTTTGATAATGTCATTTTTGAGTCCAGAAGGCCCTGCTGCCTGTCCATCCTTCATAGCGTTCAGAGCTTCTGTAAGCTCCTCTACAGTGATGTCTGGAATCATACTTATATGGGTGGAGCGTCAAAGTTGACATTGATGGGATTTGTTTAATTTAACAGACGGTTGAAGTATTCTCTCCACTGTAGCTTGATCTCATCTTGTTCAAGAACCATTTCATTTTTGTCGTTTTTGAAACATGAGGCACCAACTATGTCTTTTTTCGTACGCTTTGCTTGTTTTGTTATACGATACAAAGATTTCATTTGTTCATCTTTGCTTTTAGTGAGCCACTTTCTGCACTGATCTGTCCTAGCCAGTGCAACTTGACGTCTTGCATAGTTGTTCTTCTCACGGAAAAGATTTATAGTCATCAACAGACTTTGATTTTTGCCATTGCTTGTATGCAACTTTCTTTTCAGCTATTGCATTTTGTACACTGTCATTCCACCACCAAGTGTCCCGTTCATGCTGACCATTTGTACCAGTTTTCCCACAAACTGTAGTTGCAGCGTTTATCAAAACGGTTTTGTATGTACTCCAACCTGTACTGGCTTGCGATTGGTGATCTAACTGTGTTGCGGCAATCTGTTGAAATTTTTCTCGATGAATATTGCTTTTCAGCTTCCACGTTTTGATTCTCCGAGGCATTTGTTTAGACTTATGTTTTGACAATTCGACAACCAGGTCTGCCACAAAGAGTCTATGTTGGGCGACACATAATTCGCCAGGTATAACTTTGACATTTTTGAATAGCCTTCGGTGCTGTTGCTTGACAGCGAAGAAATCAATTTGCGTGGCAGATGGTCCACCTTTGTATGTTATGAGATGTTCCAACCTCTTTCTAAAATATGTGTTCAATAAACAAAACCCGCGACTTTCAGCAAACTCAAGGATGCGGTTGTCATCTTCATTCCGTTCTCCATAGCCAAATCCGCCATGTACTTGTCAAAACCATCTGTTTTCTCTCCAACGTGGCCATTGAGCATTGAGATCGCCTCCAATCAGGATTGTTTCAAATTTTGTAATTGTTGAGATGGTGTCAGAGAACGCAGCCCAGAAGTCATTTTTCATCTTTTCTGATTCGCCTGTTTGTGGTGAGTATGCAGAAAAAATAATCATTGTTTGCTTTTCTAGGCGAAGCTTGATCCACATGAGACGTGAATTAATCTTTTTAATATCCAGTACTTCTTGGGCTAGCGGTTCTCTGACAAAAATTACCAAAAAGTACCATAGAGGTGCCATTCTGAATTTTTCTGCAACATCCATCCGCTATTGCATACTTTCCAAGGATTCTTGGCACCTCTTGACCACTTAAGGCCTGCTGGAGACTAGGGGCCGTTGTTTTTCTTTGTGATGGCATAGGAATAATTTGGGGAAAAGTTTTTACATCCGGACACCCATCCTGACGACAACCACCAGTTATAAGCGGTGGGCCTAGCCTTTTGCTCAAAAGCACGCAAGGCAGCGTGGATGCAGTTTTATGTCATACCCAGGACCATAAACGATAATAATGATGAAGATTAAAAAGCTTGCAACAAACTTCAAGATGTCCATTGACCGCTGCATGATGAAGCGATGTTCTACCTGTCCTATCTGATATGTTGATGTTGGAAATATTAACCAGCAACAATTCCGCACATTTAACAGCGTTATTAGACGCCGCTACGTGTAAAGGTGTTTGATAGTTGACCTTGTCCCGGGCATTAACATCAGCTTGGTTTCTAAGCAATATATCCACGACATTCTACAATTTAAAAAATACAATGCAATGATTGAGCAATTTTTGAGTAATTTAATAAGATCAAAAAACACTTAATGTTTAACGACAGATCATGACTGTTTTCATTTTTTAAATATCAATTAAGTTTGAACAAAAAAAATTCAATTTATTAATAATTAGCTTCTCATTTTCCAATTTTATAGTTTAGCATCACCTCACTTAATTTTCCTATATCTTCTTTTAAACGTTGCTAAAACACTTTAAAGTATTGTCACTTTGGCACAATTTCATGATAGGCGACCCGCAAACATTTCCAAGTTTAATAAGCCAAACAAATAAGATTTTTCCAGCTTTTTATTGCTCCGCCTAAATGCAGTCAAAATTTACTAAAGCATTCCTTTGTGTTTAATGACAAACTTTTATCAAACCAGGGTTGTGCTTATTGTAAAAACTTATTCTTCATTGAAAACTAATTTACTAATCTAATTGACCAGATGGATTATTTGAGGAATTGTAAGTTCCGGTAAAATTTATTCATATTGTTATCATGCTTTGGCCTCCCGTATGCATGCTTGAACTCGTAAATAAAATTATTAATAAATTAATAATATAAAAATACTTTTTACTAGCATTTATTTTTCTGCTAGAAAAAATTTGTCCTAAGGTGTAATTTGCATTGAAGGGTTTTTGTCCGGGAGTTTTATGCTTATGGGTTTTTGCCGGGGGGGTTTTATCCGTCATTCAATTCAAGACAGTTCAAGAAAGTGAAAAAAACAACAACCACGTTATCCATCCTCTACTACCCCCAATCTAAACTACTATACACAACTTTCGTTAACGCAAGCATATCAATCAATCAATCAATCAATAAACCAATTAGCTTATAAAGCGCTATTTCCGCGATGTTCAATAGCGCTCCTCAATGAATTTTGAAAACAGATGGGTCTTGAGATCCGCTCTGAACTTCGCAAGTGATGGGGAAGTAGTCAGAGAAGTAGGTAGAGAGTTCCAGAGAAAAGGACCAGAAAAAGCAAAAGCAGATTTGGCAAAAGAGTGTTTAACACGAGTTAATAAAAAGCGAGAAGAAGAAGACGATCGTAAACCGGGGCGTTTAGGTTCAATTAATATATCTGATAAATACTCAAGAAATAATTTAGATTGAGACTTATACATGAACATGCAAATTTTAAAAATTATTCTATATTTTATAGGTAACCAGTGCAAGAGAACAAGATATGGAGATATATGAGATAAGAAAGGGGCACGAGCAACTAGACCAGCAGCAGAGTTAAAAGCTTTACTTAAAGGATAGAGTATAGAGTCAGGAAGACCATAGTAGAGCGAGTTACAATAATCAATCCTAGATAAGACTAACGAAGTAATAAGAAGGAGAAGAGTAGGATCATCAAGAAAAGGTAAAAGTTTTTTTATTCTACGTAGATGAAAGTAAGAGCTTCTAGCAACACTATTAATCTGAGAAGAGAGAGACATAGTAGAATCAAAGATAAAACCTAGACTACAAAACTTATGAGAGACATCAAGAGTTTTCGAATTAGGTAAGATAACAGGAAGAATAGTAATAGAGTGTTTAGATTTATTAAAACAAATTAATTCAAACTTAGATGAATTAAGTTTAAGACACATAGAGTCAGACCAGGCGATAATTGAAGAAAGACATAGAGATAGATTATGAAGAACACTATTGAGATTAGATGGAGGAAAAGAAGTATAAATGTAAGAATCATCAGCATATAGTTAGCTTCTCATAATTATCAAGTCTTCGCTCAATCACCTTTCAAGATAAGACCTTCATCACAAGACACCTTATATATATATATTAGAACTCAATAAAGTCACCACAAGACAATCAATCTTCGTTTAGCGTCCAGAAAATAAAGCTATTCATCAAATGAGAAGCTAATTATTAATAAAGCCATCACAAGACACCATATATATATATATATATATATATATATATATTAGAACTCAATAAAATTTTGTCATCTACCCAATTTTGTCTATTTTTTTCTATACGATCACTTAACTTACATACTAAGTTATTAACTAGTCTATTAATTATTTTATTTATTTTTTATTAAACTATTATTTCATTTTCCATACTATTCATGCTTAAACATTTATTTTACGTTATCATTTCATACTACTGCCATGCAGGTTGTAACAGATACCGATTTTATAAAGAATACAAAAAAGTTTGGCAGGGGGTTTTTGTTCTTGGAAGTTTTTGTTCGGGGAGTTTTGTCTAGAGAGGTTTTGTTCGGAGTTTTTTTTGTCCGGGAGGTTTTTGTCTGAAAGGTTTTTCACCTAGAACCAAAAAAATTGGAAAAAAATAGGAAACAAAAAACCATCACTCAAAAGCTGATATAGAAAGACCAGATATTGTCAACCACAATAAAAACAAACAATTGTTATTAATTTATATTCATTTCGGATCGAGGTTTTCAATGAAACAAATTAAGTTGAATGTTTTCGCTCATTTGGTATTTATAAACTTCTTAAAAAGTATTTCAACACAACGCAACTGTTGCAATTCGTTTGTATTGAGATTTGCTGTTATAGTGCGGCTGAAAACGTTGTTTCAACTTGAATTATCATCAGAGAGAGCCTACAATTTGCAATTACGAAAATTGATATTTCTATACAAGCTGATCAGAATGTAGCAATAAAAGAGGCCGAAAATGGAAAAATGTAAAGATCTAGAAAAAGAGAATTCCAGAATGTAAAAATGTAAAACATCTGTAATGCCAATAGTAGTTGATGCACCTGAGACGGTAACGAAACGTACGTTTAACCTCAAAACAAAATTTCTGGTGACACCAGGTTCTACGTACTTCAAAAAACAACTATTTTAGGAATCGCTCATATTGTCAAAATGTTTCTAGACACCAAATACAAACATGCTCAAATTATTAAATTACTTGTTGAAATCTTAGATTTTCACTTAAATTTGTACTTGGATGTAAATTTAAGATAACATTACGTACGTCACTTTTGGTAAAACACGCTCGATGTAATGGCGTCAACCATTTAGAATCTTTGGAGTTTATTCTTGCACCATTCAAAAGAAGAAGTTTGCAAATTTCAGCTTCACCACAAAAAGCTGCTGCATGCAAAGGCGTCCTCTTTTCTATATCTTGGTAGTTGACATCTTCTTTCTTATATAAAAGTGATCGGACTTCATCCGCATCTCCATGAAAACAAGCTTGAACTAAATTTGGCTGCAAATTTTATTAAGCAAACAATGAATTTAAATAAGAAAAATTTATATACAGTTCCAACAAACGCATAGCGCATATGTATCATTCGTTTCTTACTTAGTCACAATCAAACTTTTGCCACACAACATTATCTATAAGCATATTTGTATCATAATATATACAATATTTACAAAATAAACACTATAATCTGGTTTTAAATTTCGTTACGGTTGAATGCATGTAATGTGAGCACAGTTTTTAACATAAATAAAATATTGATTAAAGATTGAAATGATAACACTTTTTTTAAATTTCGGGTCCGGTTTGACGAGTTCGACAACGAATAAGAGTTCAGGTTCGGTTATGTTTGACATCAAATTTCTGGTTCGGTTCAAACATGGGCACACTGAATGAAATTATGCAATAATAAAGGTAACCCCGATGTAGATCGGGATCAGTATCAGACACAGGAAATACAAAAGCATCTATAAGAATTACCAAAGCATCAGGGATTCTCAATACTGAAGCAACGGTATTTATCAATGCATCGGGATATCATAAAGAAACAGATACATTGGTAAATCCTAGTTTATCGATAAAAATGAATAATATCGGTAAATATAATGTACTGGAACAGATGAAGCTGCCGTTGGAGCACGCATACGTGCAGCCTGGAATAAATGGCATCTTGCCTCTATATTGATGCGGCGTGACATCCCACTACCACTACGATCAAGACTTTATAAATCTGTGATACGTCCGGTGCTGTTATATGGTGCAGAAACATGGCCAACGACAACCAAACTGAAACAACAACTTCAACGAACCGATATGAAAATGCGCCGGTGGATGCAACAAATTAGTCTGAAGGACCTATCAAAATCCTGCGTCATGCTGGTTTACATGATATAAAGGACGAATGCCGGCAACACCGTCTGCGGTGGTTTGGTCATGTCAAACGAAGTGGAAACAGTGCCATAACTTCTCTTGCAGATGTTGAAGTACCTGGCACATGTCCCAAAGGCCGCCCAAAAAAGTCCTGGTCACAAACAATCAAGAAATGAGAGCTTTAAATTTAAATAAAATTGATACAACTGATCGTCTAATTTGGCGCAAAAAAAATTATGGAAAAGAAAACAACGTCCTACCCTCGGGAAACTGGGTCTCTGTACGCTAAACGAAGATTGATTGATTGATTGAATATCGGTAAATATCGATAAATCGATAACTTTTCAATACCGTTGCTTCAGTATTTTGAAGATGCAACTACAAATGAGACCCAACTAAACTCAAGAGTTTTCTTCGTATAACATTTCATAGGTTGAAAATGCGACTTTAAAATGTTGTTATATCCGCTGGAATGGTTGAGTTGCGCTATATTATTGTTACCTTGTAGAACTGTAAAATCTTTTAATTGTAAAACTTTCTAAAAGGTATTGTAAAAGTAGCGAGGTTGTAGTTGTGATTTATGTAGTTATATCAATCAATCAATCTCGTTTTGCGTCCAGAGTGCCGGTTCCCCGATGTAGGACGTTGTTTTCTTTGCCATCAACTTTTTGCGCCAAATTAGACGGTCAGTTGTATCCATTTCATTTAAATTTAGAGCTTTCATGTCTTGCTCGATTGTTTGTGACCAGTACTTTTTTGGGCGGCCTTTCGGCACCATATAACAACACCGGAAGTATCACAGATTTATAAAGTCATGATCGTGGTGGTAGTGGGATGTCACGCCGCATCAATATAGAGGCAAGGAGATGCCATTTATTCCAGGCTGCACGTAAGCGAGCTCAAACGGCAGCTTCAGCTGTTCCAGTACAATCCAGAACATCTTCTAGATATTGAAACGATGTGACTTTCTCCACCTTAATGGCTTCAAGAACATTGCTATTTCGAATTAGTTGTTGTGGATTTATGCAAGCAGGACAAACAAAATTGGACTTTCAAGATAAATTACCAATTATTTTTGAACAACGTTTGTGACAACACTGGTTACACTGCTGACACTTGATTGAATTGTTACTTACACCAGCTTTACAAACTGAACACGGCCATCGTCCAGTAGCTTTGGATTGGATCGGTTCACCAATGTTCATTGCTTTGGTTTTGCTGATGTTGACTTTGAATCCATGATAGGCCAGTCTGGTGTTCCAATCTTCAAACATCTGTGCTGCATTCTGTTCAGACGTGGCTGTTAAAACGATATCATCAGCATATATTAGATTCCAAATGTCGCCAGTGCGTATCGGTTTTGTGATTTCTTCCATCACAGTTATAAATAACAGTGGACTGAGAATCGAGCCTTGGTGAACTCTAACGCCGAAGTCAAATGCATCTGTGTTTCAACCGAGAGTCTTAGTATTCGTATACATTTCAATCATGTCGAACAAGATATTCTGGAATGAGTTATCGACGTAGATTCCACCTGATTGCTTCACGGGGAACTCGATCAAATGCTTTTTCAAGGTGTACAAAAATGTGTGATAGTAGTTGATGCTTTGCGAGGTACTTCTCATGTGAATTGCATCAATTGTTGATTTCCCCGCTAGAAAACCAAATTGATAATTTCCGATTGTAATGCACGACGTTAATCTTCTCTCAATGATTTTCTCGACAATTTTCAGGGAGTGTTCTAACAGACGTATACCCCGATATGATAAACAGTTCAATGGATCACCTTTGCCTTTGTATAGCGGGACTGTCATGCTATAGTTTCACTCAGTCGGCATTGTGCAATTTCTCCAGATTTCACGGCAAAGTTGTAGTAACGTTTGGATACCTGCAGTACCAGATGCTTTGATAATGTCATTTGTGAGTCCAGAGGGCACTGCTGCCTTTCCATCCTTCATAGCTTTCAGAGCTTCTGTAAGCTCCTCTACAGTGATGTCTGAAATCGAACCTTCGATGGGTGGAGCGTCAAAGTTAACATTGATGGGATTTGTTTCGTTTAACAGACGGTTGAAGTATTCTCTCCACTGTAGCTTGATCTCCAATCCAATCTGTACTGGCTTGCGATTGGTGGTCTAACTGTGTGGCGACAATCTGTTGAAATTTTTCTCGATGAATATTGCTTTTCAGCTTCCACGTTTTGATTCTCCGAGGCATTTGTTTAGACTTATGTTTTGACAATTTGACAACCAGGTCTGCCACAAGGAGTCTATTTTGGGCGACATATGATTCGCCAGGTATAACTTTGACATTTTTTAATAGCCTTTTAAATGTCATTTGTGAGTCCAGAGGGCCCTGCTGACTTTCCATCCTTCATAGCTTTCAGAGATTCTGTAAGCTCCTCTACAGTGATGTCTGGAATCGGACCTTCGACGGGTGGAGCGTCAAAGTTGACATTGATGAGATTTGTTTCATTTAACAGACGGTTGAAGTATTCTCTCCACTGTAGCTTGATCTCATCTTGTTCAAGAACCATTTCATTTTTGTCGTTTTTGATACATGAGGCACCTACTACGTCTTTTTTCGTACGCTTTGCTTGTTTTGCTATACGATACAGAGATTTCATTTGTTCACCTTTGCTTTTAGTGAGCCACTCTCTGCACTGATCTGTCCGATCCAGTGCGACTTGACGTCTTGCAAAGTTGTTCTTCTCACGGAAAATTTTATGGTCATCAACAGACTTTGATTTTTGCCATTGCTTGCATGCAGCTTTCTTTTCAGCTATTGCATTTTGTACACTGTCATTCCACCACCAAGTGTCCCGTTCATGCTGACGTTTTTTACCAGTTTTCCCACAAACTGTAGTTGCAGCGTTTATCAAAACGGTTTTGTATGTACTCCAATCTGTACTGGCTTGCGATTGGTGGTCCAACTGTGTTGCGACAATCTGTTGAAATTTTTTTCGATAAATATTGCTTTTCAGCTTCCACGTTTTGATTCTCCGAGGCATTTGTTTAGACTTATGTTTTGACAGTTCGACAACCAGGT